CTTTCACAATGTGGTTTCTTTTCTTTTCTTTTTTTTAATTCTTTTTTTTTTGAAAGATTTATTTATTTATTGGAAAGTCAGATATACAGAGAGGAGGAGAGACAGAGAGGAAGATCTTCCATCTGATGATTCACTCCCCAAGTGAGAGCAACGGCCGATGCTATGCCGATCCGAAGCCAGGATCCAGGAACTTCTTCCAAGTAACCCACATGGGTGCAGGATCCCAAAGCTTTGGGCCATCTTTGACTGCTTTCCCAGGCCACAAGCAGGGAGCTGGATGGGAAGTGGAGCTGCCGGGGTTAGAACCGGCGCCCATATGGTATCCTGGCACGTTCAAGGCGAGGACTTTAGCCGCAAGGCCATGGCACTGGCCCCCACAATGTTGTTTCAAAGCCTGATCATTATTCATAATGATTAATAACTGCTAACATTGATTGAAAGGCACTTGATATACTGATGTTACGGATGCTCTTATGTCTCATTACAGATGAGTGGATCGAAGTTTGCAGAGTTTACAGCATAGTAGTAATTTGTTAGAGGTCACAGTACTAGTGGTCTATTTGGTTGATTGCAAACCTCGCCACTTTGCATTAAAGACATCAGGTAACATGACTTCATCTCACAGCCTAAGGAAGTCGCAGTGCCTGCTGACCCAGTCAGGAGGGGGGACCTTGCCTCTGGGTGCACCTGCACACAGACACTTGTGTTGTCCTCACATTGCTCTCTTTACATGCATCCTGGGTATCGGATCCTGAGTTCAGTTGCACACTGGCAACATTTGAAAATGGAGAAGAAATGTTTGAATATATATGCCTGGGATTCCCTCCGTAGCACGCTGAAAAATTACTCTCCGAGCTCTGACATCACTGTGAAAGGCAGGGTTTGTAACAGAGCAGGGAAGTGTTCATTGGATCCTGGATGAAGCCAATATTTGCCACAGGAAGAATAACCCCAATCCCCTATTCTGTCCACACAGTCATCATAAATGCCTTGGAGGGCAGGAGACCCGGGGAAAGCTGGGGCTGTGTTTGTGTTTTGTTACTGAGCTATGTGCACAGCCAGCAGAGGATCTGTCATGTATGCAATGGTGCTGTGGCCGGCAGGAGAAAGGACCACATCCTTTTGAATAGGTCAAAGAGATGTCAGAGCCACCTAGGGGTGCTGCGAGTCACAGGCAGCTTGGTGAAGACACTGTGTCACTGTTGGAACACAAGTGACTTGTTGCTGGCAATAAAATAATGACAGGGTCTTGGCTTTGATGCAACCCTTCAGTGGCAGATAGAGTTTCGACTATATTTTGCTTCCGCCTCTTATTATCTTTCGGGGAAAGCACTGTAGCATGTTCAGGGACTTGCAGATGAAATTGTAGAGCATAGCTTGGTTGGTAGTGACATGGTGGCATCTCCTGAATGTGCAGGCTCCTGTTTCAGGCAGAATCTTCCCTGGTTCCCAGAACTTTGTGCCTTTAGTTACAATCTATTTTAAGTTCAGCTACATGATAACTTGTCCCACCACCGATGCACCAGATAGCGGGTTATACTGTATGTGTTTTTTTGTTTGTTTCGATTTTCAGTTGGTGCATAGAAAATGTATGTATCTATGGGCTATTTGAGATGTTTCACTGGAGGTGTACATTGTGCAGTCTCCAAATCCAGGTAACCATATCTGTCTCTTTAAAATTTCATCCCTTCTTTGTGGTTAAAACAGGAAAAAAATCCTTTCTTCCAGTTTTTTTTTATCAGTAGTCCCCCCACTTCTGTGCAGTGGGACAGCAGAGCTTGTTTCTCTTAGCTTCTTGTAACCTAGGACATGGTGGCCAACATTTTCTCACCCCTTACGAGTCCCAGCCTCTGGGAACCAGTGCCCTGTTCTTCGTTCCTATAGGTCAGCCTGCAGAAATGTCACATTCAAGTGAGATGGTGTAATATTTTGTCATTCTGTGCCTGACTCATCTCCCACCCGTGTGACCCCAGATGGCAGTTTCGTGCTCGTGTGGCTGAGCAGTATTCCGTGTGTGTGTGTGTGTGTGCCACATTCTCTGCTGCCGTGCGTCAGTTGATAGACACTAGGCTTGCTTTCATTTCTGAACTGCTGGGAACTGTATTAACCTGAGCATGGGAGTCCACATATCTCTTACACATACTGTTTTTTTTTTTAACAAAAAGATTGATTTGTCTTTATTTGAAAAGCAGACTTACAGAAGGAGCTTCCATCTGCTGGTTTACTCCTTAAATGGCCACAACAGGCAGAGCTGAGGCGATCAGAAGTCAGGAGCCCGGAGCTTCTTTCCAGGTCTCCCACGTGGGTGTAGGAGCCCAAGGACCTGGGCCATCCTTTGCTGCTTCTCTAGGTCGTAAGCAAGGAGCTGGAGCAGAAGTGGAGCAGCCAGGAATCAAACCAGCACTCATGTGTGATGTCAGCACCACAGGCAAAAGATTAACCTGTTATGCCACTGTGTTGGCCCCAACAAAATGCTTTCATTTCCTCTGTGTATAAACCCTTGTGACAGGATTGTTGGATCATGGGGGGTAGTTCTGATTTTCATTGATTGAGAAACCTCTGTAGTGCTTTCCACAAAGGCTGAACTATTGTTTTATTTCTTGATTGCCTGACAGGGACCTTTGGCAATGTTCAAAGTAATCACAGCTATTGAGGTTGCTAGAAGTGATGTTGGACAGTACCCTTCTCTCCTCTGCTCTAGTCCGCAACTCAACAGAGATCAATGCAGGTCTTCAATGAGGACTCAGACCTCGGAACAGAGCTAAGTACTCCTGCAGAACGGAGTCTGTGGAGAGCTACTGCTTCCAGCACAGTTTCTCAGGTCCCTCCTTGGCTCAGTGCCACTGGTGGACACATGAAGGGGCAGCATCCTTCCTGCGTGGGGGAGCTCATTAAAATGCCCGTGTTTTGTAAACAGGCTAGTTTTGAGACCAGAAAGCGAAACAGCCAAGTCGATCAATCTTGGTTTGCCCTCCACAGCAGAATCCACTCCATCTGGGGAGGGGATCCAGCAATTTCACTCTCATGGAAAGGTCCCCATCTGTGGAAACCCAGGCCACAGGAGAGGAAGCCCTTGCCTCATAACTAACCAGCAGTATGACTAATGACAGCACCAGACAAGATGGCTTCTGTGTAGAGTTCCCCTCCTTCCAGCTAAAGCCAGGGTTTCTGGACTTGACTAACAACGCTGATGGTGAGATGGTGTTTAACAAACATAGCACAACCGTTCGTGGATGCCAGGTGTCTTCTGATTTTCCTGGAGCTGATTATATTTTACTCCTTGTGTCTTTGCTCGATGCCCTTCATGGCACAAGTAACTGCAGAAGCTCTCTGAATGCTCGGCCACCTGTTGGCAGCGCTGGCTATTCTGCAGATGTCTGGATTGCTATCGGCCTGCAGGTTTGTGTGTATCCTGACAGGTGCTCATGACCCTGCTGTGAATGACTCGGTCTAACTTCATTTCAGCTGATCTCTCCTAAACTATGATTGCCTATGAAGATACTCAAGTGTAGATTAAGATCTGTGTAATTGCCCCCTCATAAGTGACATTCTAACAGGTACATTTTCTTTGTTTTGCTTGCATTTTGATTTGATGTCTGAAGGTTCGTCTGACTAGTACCTTTTTTGTTAACACAGTCACAGAAGGGATACCCTGAAGGTAGCTGACATGTCCAGGAGAGAACCTCGGAGGTTGGCAGTGAGATTTCACATTCGAACTCCATTTGTTTGCTTTGCTTTATTAGGCCAGGGATAGTTCTGCATGGGTGACTTTCCGCCAACCTAAACTATTTGTACTGAGGATAAACTTGGTCCTTTGCCCTAGAGACATGGGAATGTGAACTTTCCTTGTAAATGTTCTTAATTAAAAGCCCTCTATTGGGTGTTGGACTTGTCTCTCGCTTTGTGGTGGTGAGAGGCTGCACCTGGAAGATAACTGGAGGGAAAGAGCCGCCTTTTCCCTATGGTAGAGGCTGGCTCACACCTCGTCCATGTGATGGTGAACAGCTCTTTTGAGGGCTCCATGAGTCCATTTTCCATTACTGTCATGAAATACTTTATAAAACACAAGGGGTTGCTTAGCTCTCCACTTAGAAGGTGCCAGCTCTGGCCATTGCTCCCTGAGCCCCCACAAGTTGCACCAGCGCACAGTGGGTGGCAAGAGGGCATGTGCAGGAGGAGGCTGGAAGTCAGAGAGGCTGCAGCGAGCCAGGCTTGTTCTCTGACAACACCTCCCTCTGAGAACTATCCATGGGCTCATAAGATCTTCTTTAACCTTCCTTAGCCTCTTCCCAGGGCAGTGCCCCCGACAGCCTAACGGCCTCCCACTAGGACCCCACCACCTCTTGCTGTTGCTGCTCTGGGACCAAGTTTGCACATGAGATCCTTCGGGAGACAGTCTCAGACCACAGCCAGGGCACCCATTTGATACCTGGAGATGCTAACGTGATGTGAGCAGGTGGGAGCCAGGCCTGGGAACACATCCCAACTGCAAGTTTCCAGGCTGTCACCTGTGTCTTTCTCCTTCCATCTCCACCCAGGTTGTGTTTTCACAGAGGCTGCTCATGTATCCACCCTTTTGACCATCTCTTCTCACCTCTGCCTCAACCCCATCTCCTCTCTAAGGACTCTAGAACAGGTCCATTTCTCTCTTGTGCAGCCTCCATTGCAGTGCCTTCCACCCTGTGCAATTAGTCCCCTAGATGCTATTTCATAGATGCGTGGACTCCAACTCTGGTTGGCCAGAAGTTACCTTGGTGGCGTCAAACAGGCCACCTTCGTTGCATCTAGGCACCTCATTTTTCCCAATCAGGAAATGATCTCCGATCCCCCCTTGACACTTCGGAACGGGAATCCTGCAAGGATGTAGACAGGGGACGAGCATTGTTGAGGGAGCATGCTTCTGCCACCTGCAGCCACTGCCTGCTGCAGACGCGGTGGTCATGCCTCCACGGCTGTTGCTGGGTCTCCTTTGGGCTAACTTGATGCTTAACCTTTTTCAGGGCTGGGAGAGGGTTCTGCCCTCCTGCACCCAGACAGCAGATCGCATCCTAGGTCCTTGGAGAAGAGCGCCTGGAGGGCTTTCAAGGAATCGCAGTGCCATCACATGCTCAAGCACCTCCACAATGGCGCACGCATCACGGTACAGATGCCGCCCACCATCGAGGGCCACTGGGTCTCCACGGGGTAAGGACGAAGGGCCCTGGAGGGACCGGGCTGCAAGAGGGAAGGTCCTCTTGGGAAACTCGAGGTCATCCACAGTGGTGTAGGATCCTCATTTGCTCTTTGGAATTCTGTTTAGCCAAGAAGAACCGAGCCAGTATTCCAGCAGTCTCGTGCCAGAGCAGAGATTATATTGTACGTGACTGCTGGCCACAGGATACGAGTGAAAAGATCCTTGTTTACTCAACTCCTCAGGTCCACTAGTGTATAAAAAGAAACCATTAGCAAGTGAAACGAAGAGTCTGTGTTTCACCCATGCTGAAACATGACTTGCAAGCCTCTTAGGGCCTGAATATTCTAGCCATATTCCCGTAACTTAATATATGACTGCCGAGTTCTGAGAGCAAGCTGAAAGCTACCTCCACCAGCCAGGGCCTACCTCTTGGATTCTTTTTCTGCGCTGGGAAGCTGAGATTTGTCTCAGTTTGAGCTCTGGCTTATCTCCCATTAGAGCTTTTAGAAATAACCAAGAGACAGATCTACGATTTTTTTTTTCCCTTTCTTTCCCCACCCATTAAATTGTTGCGAATTAAGCAGACTGATGGTGGGGGTCTAATCACGTGGTCCTTCGCATTGTGCTTGGGGTACGGGTAGTGGTCCCCAGGGAGCCTGCAGGGGAATCAAATGAATGATGGAGAAGAGAAAAAAAAAAATCTCCCAAGATGAGGAAAATTCAGAGTTTTCGTTTTTTCCCCCTGAAAAGGGAGTGTGTTGATATGATGGAGAGGATATGTTGCTTGCATCAATTCTCTTACTGTGATGTATTTTTTAAAATTATTTCTCATCTTATTGAACAGAAATTGATGGCTTGCCAGATGCTTTTATAGATGTTTTGTGTAAATGAGGATACTTTCAAAAATTCTGGGAAAATAGAACCCAAACATTAGTATGCTTTGATGCTAAAGTCTTTGAAATCCATGCAGTCTTTTCACAATCCTTTGCGTGAGTTTTTGAGGTCCTCTCATGCTGTTTCACCCAGGGGTGCTGGGCTGCAACTGACACTTTAGATGGCAAGGGTTTCTGCTTCTAAGTTGGGATTGACTAACAAAATCTACCCACTGGCTAGAACATTTAAATATTGCTGATTTTGAGAGCCACTGGGTTTGGCGTTCCAGCCTGGCTGCTTGACTTAGCACTGCCCACATTCTCTGTTAAAAGTTGTAGATGCGAGCAGACTTGCAAGGCCAGAGGTGATGAGCTGAGCCTTGTGACAGAAGCAGGGATGGAGTCTTCAGATGGTGCTGTCAGGACCAGCACAGCGCCCTCTGCAGGGCAGGCGAAGCTGCATGTGCGTGAACTGGCCATGGAAGGTCCTTGAGCCAACGCCCATGCACTTGCTTGGTGTTGTCTGCCGGTTCTCGGACAGGGACCCAGCCTTTCCGTAATGCCCAGAGAAGGACATTGTCTCGTTGCCCAGTGCGAACCAAAAGAATCTCTTTTCCTTCACTGTGCCGGCTTTCCTTTTTCCAGTTGCCCTGTCCCCTTTACTGCTAGAGGGAGAATTCATCTTGAATGGACAGAAAGTGACAAGATTCCATGTCGGGAGGTAGTCCTCTGACATGTGCCTCTTCTAAGCAAAGCGCTCAGGAAGTCAGCAGAAGGGCCCTGGGTCAGCATCCTTCTTGCTTTCACAAACAAATTGCTGCTGGTGTTAGGCCCAGAAAGACTTCGCGGGATAGAGTAATTTAGGAGCATCTTCTGGAAACACATGCCTTGGATTCATGGTCAGGCCCTGGTTATGTGACATTGAACAATGTCCCCTAACTTTGTGCTTCGGTTTCCCCATTTGTAAGCTACCAGTGCCAACCACACCTAGCTCCCTGGCTGCTGGAAAGGTTCAGTAACTTGCTGCTGCATACAGCGGGCTCAGGGCAGAGTGTGGGCTGCAACAGGCCTTTGTTGTCACTACTGTAATTCCACAACAAGATACTGAGCCTCTTGCAAGTGCTGTTGGACTCACGAGGTCTTGCCTTCCTTTCCCAGCTGTGAAGTCAGGTCAGGCCCAGAGTTCATCACAAGGTCATACAGGTTCTACCACAACAACACCTTCCAGGCCTACCAGTTCTACTACGGCAGCAACAGGTGCACCAACCCCACCTACACCCTCATCATCCGGGGCAAGATCCGTCTCCGCCAGGCATCCTGGATCATCCGCGGAGGCACGGAAGCCGATTACCAGCTGCACAGTGTCCAGGTCATCTGCCATTCGGAGGCAGTGGCCGAGCAGCTCAGCCAGCGGGTGAACCACACATGCCCAGGTTTCCTGGCTTCCGGGGACCCCTGGGTGCAGGACGTGGCCTACGACCTGTGGCGAGAGGAGAATGGCTGTGAGTGTACGAGGGCCGTGAACTTTGCCATGCACGAGCTGCAGCTGGTCCGCGTGGAGAAGCAGTACCTTCACCACAACCTCGACCACCTGGTGGAGGAGCTCTTCCTGGGAGACATTCACACCGACGCTGCCCAGCGGATGTTCTACCGGCCCTCCAGTTACCAGCCTCCGCTGCAGAATGCTAAGGTACCATTCCAGGGGCTGCCCGCAGAGCCTTGCCACACTCTGTGTATTCTATAAAAGCAGTTTACCCTTCATGAGGGCGTTCTCTTTGGGGGGCTCAGGGACCCCGGGAGAGAAAGAATGGAAGGCTGGGGACATGGGAGGACTTGTATGCAGCTGGAGACCCAGGTCGGCTTCCTGCTCGCTTTGGAATGTGAGGCTGGTAATTTTCCTTTTCAAAGTGGGGCTGTTCGAGGAAAGATTCCTTCAGCTCTAGCATCCTAGGCACCTCTTGCAGGATTCTAGGAGGGAAGCAGAAAGGACAAATGGTGGTGCTGTAAGCCGCACTTGTGAAAGACCAGACACAGACCCCAGCCCTGAGGGAGGGTGTGGGCAATGAGCATGGCAGGGGCAGACGCAATTTGCTGCATGTCCACAACACTCTCACAAAGTCCGACATGCTGTCCCTTGTGGGTGCAGCTTCAAGGTCACAGGGTAAGTGAGTTTCAGGAGAGAACTTGACCCCAAACCTCTCTGCTCTTGATCCCGTGTCCTTTCCATTGTACCCAGTGTGGGCAGTCACTGGAAGCATTAGGAAGGTGTGGGGAGGGCAAGAAACAAGTCAAACCTGGGGGTGTTTTTCTTGGGATACACCAGGAATCCATGAAGCATCTTCCTCCGTGAAGCCAAGAACTCATGTGCATAGGTAACCCAAACATAGGTAACCTTGTGCCATCCCAGGCAGCGAGGGGCATTGGCCGCCTGGAGGGGACCATGTGATTTCTATTGGACATCTTCCCTACCACTGTGATTGGCTGGCAGGGGGAGCTCTTTGCATCCCAGGTTGTCCAGCTACAGAGCTGCATCTGAATTCAGTGTCGTATTCATCTCCTAACACTCGCCTTGCTCGGAAGCTCTCTGAGCTCCCTGGTAGCCAGCAGGAAGATCATGGAAAACCTCCTCTGGCGGCACCTGCTCAGCATCCCGTTCTTTGTGACCACTGAGAAAGGGTGCTGACAGGATGCCCCCTCTGGATGCCTCTCAGGGGGGCTGCCTTCCCAGGTGCAAGGTGAAGCCCAAAAGGGACCCCTGCCTGAGCCCCAGGGCCGCTCAGCTGCCCTGGAATGGCTTGCCAACCCAGCCCACAGTGCCCCTGCATTTGGTTACAACATAGGCTGGGTGCCAGGTCTGCTGTCTTGCGCCTTGGTGTTTCCAAGGTGCTGAAGAAGCAGGGGTGAGTTAGGGCAGGGGAGGGTGCTGCTGCTGCCTGGGAGCCAGCTGTGTCCTTGCAGCCGGCGGCTTCTCCAGCAATGACCTTGAGGAGAATCCGCTCCCCTGGGTGGTGCCTGGACCAGAGTGTGTGTTCTGGGCCGGGTGTTATTGAAGCTCTTGGGGACATGGCATAGGAGTCATGGGTATTCTTCACTTCCACGCTGGGACCTCCCTTGCCTGGATAATGGTAGCATTGAACACCGTGGCTACAGAGCACTTCTCTCAAAACCTGCAGTTAGAGAGAGAGCGGGGACAGATGAATTTTCATCGTGTACATGTTTTCCTCTGAGTCCAAGTGATCTCTGGTCACGGGTAACCTCACAGGAGCCCATCTCACTTTGAACCTTTGTGGTGAGCAGCTAAGCAGGCTGAGGCCTTCGCGTTCCTTGCCCTTCTTTTGTCATTGGAGATGCAAATGAGAACAGTGGAGTAGCCGGGAAGCAGGGCTGCTGGCTTGCTCCTGGGGGAAGCAGGTGCAGCCACAGAGCCCATGGGGCTGCAGTCAGGGCCTGCCTCTGAGCTAACTGCCCCTGAAGCTGGTAGTTGCCACTCAGCTGGGTTCAGGGTTGGTTTCCTCACTTGCGTATAGACTCTCTGGTCTCATAAGCTCACGTTAGCACCGGCAGGGCAGGGGTGGTAGGAAAGGGGAAGCATCGATAACTTTCTATTTTTATTATTATTATTTCATTTTATGATACAGTTTCATAGGCTCTGGGATTCCCTGGACCCCTCCCCAAACCCTCCTCCCATACTGAATTCCGCCATATTGTTAGTACAGATCATAACCAGTCATGATTCCTTCATTGTGGGCATGGACCATGCAGAGAGTCCAGCATCTCATTGTCCGGACATATTCAACAGTTTCATTGGGAAACCATCCCCGGTCCGAAAGTAGAGCTGGCAGAGCACCATCCCCTCTAATGAAAAGCCACCACACAACTTCAGCAACAATTTACAACATCGTGAAGTTAATTGACATGGTATTGAGTGACCAATATGTTAGGATATGCAAGCTCTTAACCACATCCTGGAACTACTCATGTTGGCACTGGCAGGGCGGGGGTGGTAGGAGAGGGGAAGCATCAGTAACTTTCTTTACAATTTTTCATTTTAGAAATTTTGTTTTTATTTGAAAGTCAGAGTTACAGAAAGAGGAGAGACAGAGAGATCTTCTGTATGTTGATTCACTCCCCTAGATGGCTGCAATGGCAGGAACCTGGCCAATCTGGAGCCAGGATCATCTTCTGGGGCTGCCATGTGAGCACAGGGGGCCCAACTCTTGGGTTGTACTCTGCTCATTTCCCAGGTCATTAACAGAGAGCTGGATCAGAAGTGGAGCAGCCGGGACTTGAACTTGCACACCTGTGGGATGACAGCATGCAATCAGGGGCTTAGCATGCTACACCTCACTTTCTTTCCTTACCTCTCTCCTTTTGCCCTTCAACTCACTCGTGTTCTTCCTGCCGGGTGGCTCGCTCAGCAGGGGCCTACCAGGCCTCTCCTGCTGGTGGCCTGTGACCCTGGGAGACCCTACCTTGTGGTCAGTGCCTCTCACTAGCCGGGGCCTGTCTGTTGGGAGAGCACCCACGTGTGTGTTTCGCCAAGGGCAAGTGAATTCAAAGTGGAAATGATTAAAACTCATCAGGAAATTGAGGATGGCTGCTGTACGGTGGATCTTCTGGGACTTTTCCCAATCATAAAAGCTGAAGAGTTTATTTTTGTTGTCTTTAACACCGTCTGGATCAACTGGCAGGAACATGGACTTGGGAAGTGATGGCCAACCCCAGACTCTGCTCCTCCACCCTCTGCTGCCCTGGGCACTGGTACTTTTCCAAGTCTTAGAGTCAGAGTCTTTGATTCCTGTAAAATGGGAACCACATACGCGCCGAGGGGGGTTCACGTCCGGAATGCTGTCTGGCTTCCCTGCTGCCTGGCCTGTGGCTCATGCCGGGAGGAAGAGGACAGACTGCTGACCAGGGGACATCAAAGTGTTTTATGAGCCTGGCTATAAAACACTTCCTCCCTTTTTCTCCTCCCTACACTGTTGGGGCAGTGGTGGGAACACTGAGCCAGATTCTTAACAGGGTCTGTTAGACCTGGCTCCCACATTCTAGAACCTAGAGAACCTTAGATGCTATTTAGGACAGAGGGCTGCAAAGCATACAGAACACAATTCTGTTTGCATACAACTGAATGGAGGAGGACAGGCGAGCAGGCAGGGGAATGAGGTGTTTCTGGAAATGGTGTGCAGGACTTGGGGGAGGGGTCTCGTCCTCCCTTCCGTAGCTCGTGCTGTGATTCCACAGCAGCTGAACGTTGTCACCAACAGCAGGGCTCCGAGGCCCTGCAGAAAGCGGCGGCTGCCCACGGAGTTGGATGGCCCCTGGGAGGGGGCTGCAGCGTCCGGAGCCTGGCTGCCGTGTGCCCTGGGATGGCCGCAGCTGCCCAGCTGGGACGGTATGGTGGTGGGAAGTGAAAGGGCTCATTCTTCTCATGTTATCCTTGCAGTTGTACCTCTTGGCCTGCAGTGCACAGCAGAGCCCTCAGGAAGTTTTCAGATCCTTCCCCAGGACAGCTAAGAGAAGCAGTGAATGGCCCTGGCCGCCTGTGTCTTTCCCGAAGCTGGGCACCCCAGAGCCCTGGCTGCTGTGACCCCACGGTGGGAGGGCTGACTGTGACAGCAGGTTGTCTCCACCAGCAGCTGTGGCCGCCTGGCACGGGATGGTCAGGAGTGTGGAGGACGCCGTTCAAAGCCTGTGCAAACCTGCCCAGGTCAGGGAGGGCTCGAGCCTCCACCTTTGAACTCATCCACTTCCCTAATTGCGGGTCCGTAGAGACTTGGTTGAAAATTAGTTTAAATGCTGAATTAAGTTTGAAACCATGAGTCTCAGCCCCTCTGGAAACAGGACACTATGTAAAAATAGAAACTTCAGATTGACTTGTTTTTCTAAGCCGTGTGCTAGTCTGCCGTGACGTTGGAGTCCCCCTGCAAGTAAATCGTGTTTGCACATCCAGGCGCACAGGCAAGGCCCTCTTGGGTTGCAGCTGGCTGTTCTTCATGGAGAAAAGTCAAGCCCCACACGATGCTGCTGGGCCCATCGTGTCTAGCAGCAGAGCAGCCGTGCCCTCAGGTCTTGGAGCCCAGCAGCCAGCATGGGATGGCATCAGATGGTGAGCATGGCCAAGGCAGGAAGACTCCCATGCCTTAGAATTAGGCACATGAGCAGATGGAATATTGCACTGATTGAAGCACAAGGCCGTCAGAGGGAGCTTTCCCCAGGTCACGTTTCCTAAGGCTCCCATCCCTGTGTGCTGATGATGTGGAAGGAAGGGATGTGGCAGGGTTTCAGAAAGGGAAGAAGAGGCTCCTGGTGTGCTTGCTGTCACTTTTGAGTTCAGAGGAGCGTCTGGGCTGGGATCCAGCAGGTGCACTGGAGGTCAGCTGCTTTCCAGAGCCATTCCAGAGTGCAGCCACCCCTGGTGCCCTCATGGGTAGGGGCAGGAGTCAAGGCTGTATGGTAGGAATGGCTGTCACCGAGCATGCTCCTGGCTTGGCTCCCGTGTGAGAGGAGGTTGGGGATGGCTGGAACTTGGAAGGAACCAGGTGCTTGTGGGAGAATTCCATGCCCCTACTCCTTGTGCTGGTGTAGGGGAGGGAGAGGAATTTGCAGATGGAGGAGGGGAAGGAGCAGAGAGGACAGCATCGGGACCTAACAGGTGCAGGATACGGTCTCTGACACAGGGTGACACCA